CCGCCTTGTCTCCTGTCTACGGGGAATTTCTGCACCAGACAGCTCTTTTTCACAGTGAACAAGACGTTTAGTTCCCGCCTTGTTGCTGGGCCGGCAGCCTGGATCTCAGCCTGAAAGTCGAGCTGCGTGGTCCTCGGTTCACGCAGCCGTGCTGTGCTTGCCCGTCCGCCCCGGGCAACTGCAAATGCACGGAGGGCCCGTGGGGCTGCGCGGTGCGCCGTGAATAGAGAGGGGTGAAAAACACCAGCGCGTGAAATCTTCCTCCCCGTTGTAAGGTGCGGGTCAGCCGCAGAGCTGTAACACAGGTGCCGTGTAAAGCAGAACGTTCTGGTTTTTGCTTGGGCTTTAGGAACAGCTGTCAGGACCTGGAAACGCCGAGATCTGCCAGCTCTGCCAGCAAGAAAGCAGCCGAAACAAAAAAAAGGTAACGCCGAGGACTTGTATCGTCATCTCCGTCACCTGCTGAATGTGCGTTTCCTCTGATTTTCATTTTCAGATAGCACAGAGTTCCTACTGCTGACGTGGGACAAAGAAATGAGCCCTTTCCTGAAGTCTGCTTTACCCTTAAACTTGTTAAACAGCGGTGGCTTGAGGGTTCCCCACTCTGCTCTGTGTTCAGTGGCCTTGCTTTTCCTTCCCCTTAGCAGCTTCTCCCCTTTTTAGCTAAGTGGGGGTTTTTTGGGATCAATCAGAAGTGAGAATAGGAGGTGTTAACGCTTCTTTGTTATTTTTCCACTTAAGCCACCTTGCCTCTTTCTCTTCTTTTTATTCTTTTTTTGTGGCGAAGCCCTTCTTCCTTTCCTGACTTCTTTACAGTCTGAATCCAGAGGGATTACAAGAGTCACCCAAAAGGGTGTTCAGTGGGAGGGCTGCCTTCATCCGGATATTTTCTTGCACTGATGCCGAGGAGCCGGAGCAGTTTGCAAGGAAACAAGTCGAGGCGCTGATAAGGCTGCTGTCGGTGCAGCAGGCGTCCTGGTCACGCTGGTGCAAGTACTTCAGGGGGGTGCTGGACGGCGACGTTGGGTTGGGGATGCTTTCCCCTAGCTGATCCGCAAAACCTGAGCCAGAAGGCGGTTGCGGAGCTGGGCATGGAGGGAGGAGTCCTGTCGGGCAGCGCCGGGGATGCCGGCTCTGTATCTTGGTTCCAGATGGGTCTTGGGAAATTTTGGGGGGGCGACTGGGGAGCACAGTGAGGTTACCTGGCCAGGAGGCTTTCAGGCTGAGGTGGAGAGGCCGCGTCGGGCCAAGGGACGGGTGATGAGCTGCTGCTTTTCCGGGCAGGGGCTCCCAGCTGCGGCTGTGCTCGCAGTGCCGCCTGGCACACGGCCGGGCCTGGCAATCGGTGATTTTGCCGGAGTAAAGAGCTGCTCCCGAGCCAGCCCGCTCCGCGGCGCCTGCGAAGGCGGCGTTCCTCGACGTGGTCAGAAGCCAGCGCTCTGCTCCCCAGCGCCGCAGAACCGTGACGCTTAGAACAGGCAGGGAGGGGGGCCCCGACTGCCCCCCGCAACCCCCCATGAACCTCTCCTGTTGCACGCGTGGGTACTCCGTGTAGGATTTCTCGTCTTTCCCGTTCTCCTGTGTTTATTTTGAGAAAACACGTGAGTTCAAAGCAAATGCCACAGCTTTATATCCGGCTTTGATACATTTCCAAATGCATGTGCACATTGAAATACTTATCTCGGGCAAGACTTGTTGTTCCAGTGTATTTATATGGCTGTAAAATATACACGTGCACCTCTCGTGACAAAATGCTCAAGTAGACCAACCGAACTGAAACTTGAATGGTTCCTTATGGGTGACTCTAACCTGCTTCACTGCAAGCCTTCACCTGCTCTCATTTGACCTAAGGAGCTTTGCTAGAAACGGGTCCTGAGCACAGGAGCAAACTTTTGGTCTTCAGAGGGCACAAGAGCAGAGTTTTGGAGCGTCTTTCTCTAGCCCACTGGAGGATTTGGGTTGACAGAATGATAGAGAAAACCTAAGTTGCTTTGTGTTGCTTGTAACTTGAGCATCTCCTTAATTTTTCTGTCCTCTTCCTGCATTCCAGAACATCTGCAAGAACTGTGGCGGCATCTTCTGTGAAGCCTGTTCGGCGCACGAGCTGCCCCTCCCGTCTAGCATCAACCCCGAGCGCGTCTGCAACCCCTGTCACGAGCAGCTCATCCAGCAGTATTCCACCAGTCCCTTGTAGGGAACGGGTGGCCAAGAGAGGTGACCAAAAATTGGTTGTGGCCGATGGATGGTTTCTGGAGTTGTGCAGGGGGAATGTGAAGAGACGACGCTTGCCTGTGTTCTTTGGAAGCCGGAGGGGAAGCAGCTTCGTGGTGGTTACAGTCTGTCGTGACTGAAACAACAGTCTGAGCCTTCCCCTGTACAACAACCTGCCTGGGCTCAGAACTGAGCTTGTGCTGGGGAGAACTGCTTTGGGAATGTCGCGTAAAGTTGTCCCCAGGTGCGCCCACGCAGCCTCAGGGCGCAGTGAGAACAGGGAGCCCTCGCCCAAAAAAAGAGCTCCGCGTGTGCGTGCGCGTGTGTGTCTGCGTGTGCAAGTCGGGAACGGTCTCGTCCTCAGGCGTGTGGCGTGACAGCATGCTGCTGCGAAGCAAAGGCTCGCTGGAAGCAAAACGGGAGCATTTGTAATCCTCCTGTCTGGCTGCACTTGAAATCTCATTTCCCTCTTCCCAGTTGCCTTTGACTGCCTCAACCGTGCTGCGTCGGTGCCGGCTGTAGGGCGGCCAGGGACGGCGCCAATAAACGCGTTCTGGCTTCGCTTCGGTGGCTCAGCCCTCTGGCCCTGGGCTTGCTATGCAAATCGGTATCGAAAACCCAACCCAAGCTGTGGAAGTTCTCCTTCTGCATTTTGGGGGGTGGGGGGGTGTGGGGTGGGCGCTTTTGAGGCGCGCCCCATGCGAGGACTGACGACCTGCACTGATCTGGCACGGAGGTGCCCTCGGGCATCTCCCACGGTCCCCTCGGAGACCCTCACTGTGACTTTGTGACTACAAAATGGTGGTCGGCGCTAAGGGTGTAACCGTACTTCCTATCTCGGTAACGGGAGGAATTGCACTCCCCGGTACTTAGATATCAAATCCTCATCGTGACACAGGTGGTTTAGGGCCGCTTCGATCGCCGCTCCCCCTTGTGCACACAAAAAAAAATCAGTGTCACAAACCTGGCATTGCAGGGTTTGATTGGTTTTGGTTTGGTTTTTTTTTTTTTTAGATCAAAATGAAGGTGAAATGAAATGGGAATGCTTTTCACTTACTCTAGAGATTGAAACACAGTTTAAAGAGGTTTCACAGTTCATGCTACAGCCTTCTTTGTTGCCGGTACCTCAAGGAATTTTGCGTTGCTCCAAAAAGCGGTGGTGGCTTCCTCCGGAAGCCCGCAGCATGTCACAGTTCTGTCTGGTCTGTTTTATACTGGAAGCCTGCTAAGACCGCAGAATGTTCTGTAGTCCATAGAAAGCTGATGTATTTATATGTGACAGAAACATTTGGTTTTGTACAAATTTTACTAGGGGTTAGTGTTTAATTCCTCAGTGGGGATTTTTCTGTTCGTTAGACTGGCTGGAACGGCGCTAAAAAGCGTGTCAGAGCTGAGGTTATTGACGTGGTTGGTGCTGGTCTGTAGCAGGAATTACTCTCTTTAGTTCCCTCCAGGCCTCGGCGTGTTCAGCCACCCAAGTTCTCCAGCTGCTCTCAGTGCCCTTCGGAGCCAGAGCACTTCACAGGGGAGCAACTTTAAGTTTTTCTTTTTCTGCTCTGGTTTTTTTTTTCCCCCCTCATGGTAGTTACCAGATAGGTTTCCTTGCTGCTGTCCCTTAAAGTAGGTTTGTAGTTGTAAACAGGGTTAAAATACGAAAAGCCTAGAATTCAGGTGCGGGCACGCTGCTTTGCGGGGGCGCGACACCAGGGATGAATGGAGGAGATAAGGAATTTAGTGTTACTAGTTTCGTGTACATGCTGTACGCATTTACGAGATTGCAGATTGCTGCACCCAAACCCAGCGTGGCTCATCCCCCAGGAGAAAGCGAGCCCCAAGCAATTTCCATGTTAAGCGGATTAAACTGGAAAGCGGCCCCTTACTGTCAGTAATTTTCATGCTGGTGCGTCCAGCATTTTGCAGCTCCCAAGCGACAGCCGATTTGTGACCTGTACCCAGCTTCCGACTGTGCCAGCAGGAGCGCCTGCCGCTCCGCTTGCTCCAAGTGAAGGCTGTGAGTGTTGTTCGTGTGAAAAGCAGGCCAGCCCTCGAGCGGGTCCTCTGGAGCGACGCGAGGTCCCCAGGACGGAGCAGGGAGGCGGCCCAAAACCCGTCAGCGTACAGCTTTGGCGGCTGTAATGGGAACTGGCATTTGGAAAGGTCAGAGCGAGACTGCGCTCGCTGCCAGCTGCCTGTGTCAGCGCTTGCCTCTTTCCTGGCGTCTCCTGGCGTCGCTTCCCGGTGACCGTCCCTGCCTGCAAGGACTGGACGTTAGGCTTCGGGATGCTGCGGATGCTGAAGGCGCGTTTGCTCAGGTACCGCTTGTCACGCTGGAGCGTGGGCTGACACCTGGACATTCGGCTCGGGGGGGAGCAGGGGGCACTTTTTCTGATGTTAATTTTTTTCCACACGGTAATAAAAACTTGATCACCTGTATCCCGTGTCCCGAGTTGGTCTTTCGATCCCATTCTGCTTTGGCTACACGTATGAAAAATGTCAAAACTGGGCACCACTGACAGATGCTTATGCAGCTCGAGAGGAGGGATGAGGTAGTGGCTGTACTACGCAGCGTGCCCGCTGACCTCTGCATGTGAGGAGCTTAAACGGCTCTGGTTTGGTAAATTGGGAATACGGGTGGTCTATTAATGCTTTGTGCACCGTTATGCAGCGGGAGGGTAGAACTGCTCCGTCATGCAGCATTTGCCATTCCTCCCGTACAGCTGCTTTTGCAAGAGACAATGTTTCCACAGTATGGCAACACAATTTATTACATGCTTTTACACAAGGCTAAACTAAATTTTATACAGTTTATTCTTGTTACTGAGCAGCGACACTCGTACTCCATCTTTACGCTCGTACCCACGGAATGTGTTCGCTTTGGCCTAAAAAGAAAGGAAGAGGAAAAAGAAAAAAAATCACTACCTTACCGCAGCTTATCGCTTTCCTTTTTTCAAATGCACCACTGCATTTTATTCCGAATTATTGTCTCCAATACTTAGAGTAGCAGAATTTGGCAATCCTAAAGCATCTCGCCAAGAAAGGTAAGGTGACACAAACGGCTCCGACAGGCGAGGCGTTTGCGGGCGGGGGGTGTTTAATTCTGCCGGGGCCGCGCCCCACCGCAGGGGTTTTTAATTCTGCCGGGGCCGAGCCCCAGCGCAGGAGCCAGAAACCGTTCCGGCTGTTGCTGCGCCAAGGCGGCCGGGAGGCTGCGTGGGATGCAGGGCACGCTTCGGCGCGCGTCTGGAATCTGCCCCGAGAGCTCAGCCCTGGCCTGGATTAGAAATGCAGGGCTGGGGGGTGCCTGCCCTCCCTGCTGCTGCTGCGGGGGCCGGGACCTTGGGGAGCGGCGCCTGTCACCCCCCACTTCCAGAAGGGAATTCATGGAAATGTCCTTCCTGGTACAAACGTTCTGCCTCACGCTTGTAGCCCTGGGAAACCCTGCTCTGGCAGCAGGGAGGGCTGCCTGCTGCTTTCAGTCACAGCTGTGACCTGGTGATGTTTCAGCAGCAAGAACTGCCCCCCGCAGCGTGCCCGCCTTGGCAGGAGGGCCACCCCCCCTCGTGCTCACACCCAACACCGCCTGCAATTTTTTTTCTGTTGTAAATGGCAAGGAGAGATACGCAGTTTCTGTGCAACAACAACCAAAAAACATAAAAAGGCAAAAAGTGTCCTGCTACAGGACACCCCCCTGCCCAAGGTTAGCGTCGTGAAAAACATTACAACCTGTTTGCTTTGACAACAGGCTGACTACCACACTTACCTAGGCTACTGGCCTGCTTTTGGAACAGCAGATGGATTAAAAAAGAAAAAAAAAAAAAAAAAATCACCTGTGGCATGTTACTTTGTCAAAGTCCACTGGCGGTAATTGTAATGTTAAGTAATAATAAGTAAGTAATATTCCCCCCGCCAGAAGACAAGTTACTGTTAAGCCACATCTGTGGAAAACATCTAGCCACCTTTCCTCTTTCATGCCAGGGAATGAATACAGCCCTCTCAGAACCTTTAATCACTCACACTAGCAGAGTTTTGAGGGGAGGAGGGAAAAAAAAAACACACCAAACCAACAAAAAAAAAATTATCTCTTGTGCACTCCAGCAGGGCTCAGCTGCGAAAGGGCAAGCGGCTGCGGAGCAGGGCTAGCGCTGGCTGTAGCCTCAGCAAGGAGCTGCGGCCCCTTCGCCACAGGACTTTCAGCCCATGGACGCTGGATTCGCAGGCCAGAGGGTGCAGGCTCGCTGCCTGCCCTCAGATTAGCTGTGATGATCCCCTTCAGCCCCTCTCAATTTTAGCCTTTAAGCTAGCTGCAGTCCAGAGCATCAGAAATAGCAAGCCTCAGGCACACGCTGCTAAAAACGGGCCAGCAACAACAGAGAAGGCTGCACTTACCAACTCTGAGAGTGCGCCGCTGTCACTGGCAGTTTTCTTTTGCCTTTGGGTGTCCGTTCAGGAATAATTCAACGGCACTGCACTCTGGGGAACAATTTCAGAGAGACAGGCTGTGGTGACTGACTTGTATGTGTGACATTTTCTTTTTCTTCCTTTTTTTTCCTTTCGCAAAGCCAACATCCCATTATAGGGTAATTTGGGAATTTACATTTAAGATGATCCTTTTGCACAAGGTGTTAGTAGTAGCTTGCCAAGCCGTGCCAAACTACCCGAGGACCTGAGTCTCGGGGTTGTAAACCCCCCTCCCTTTACTTACGCAGCTGTGACCCCTCCTTAGCCATTGCAGCGACTGCGTCCTCGCGGCTCTCGAAATGCACGTCCGCTTCTCCTGTGGCATCGCCGTGGGCGTTGTATTCTACCATGATCCTTGTGGGCTTCAGTGGAGCAAAAAACTGAAAAAGAGGAAAACAAAAGAGAGTTTGGTGAGAAAGGAACAGAAGTGTAACGCGCCCTGTTATCAAGAAACTTGATGTTTTCACTCATGAAGCCTGTCCAGCTCTGGGGGAGTCTGCGCTCGGGAGCAGCAAAAGGCCCCTTTCCCATCTGGGGGAAGCTGAGGCACACCCAAGTCCCCACCCCACCGTGCACAGCCTCCCACCCTCTGTAAGCTCCTGGCAGAGGAATTCTGAACAAAAATCCTCTCACAGCACAAATGTTCTGTACATGCCAGTCATTAAGTGCAGCTACATTCACTCTGTGACGCTGTACACTATTAAAATACAGGAAAATTGATACTAAAAAGGTTCTGAAATTCGTTTTTGTACAATCAGCTACTCTGAAATCTAGCTAAGATTTTATATAAATGGCTACTCAAGTCTAAGGGGTGGATATTAAGGCAGCCCAGCAAGCTTTTGCCCATTCTTATTTAAGCTTATATAAGCTGCGCCAGGGGAGGTTTAGGTTGGAAATTAGGAAAAATTTCTTTACGGAAAGGGTGGTCAAGCATTGGAACAGGCTGCCCAGAGAGGTGGGGGAGTCCCCATCCCTGGAGGGGTTCAAAAAACGGGCAGAGGTGGCACTTGGGGCCATGGTTTAGTCTGGTCTACCCTTGATTGGGTTAGCGTGGACTTGGTAGTGTTAGGTTAATGGTTGGACTGGATGATCTTAAAGGTCTTTTCCAACCTCAACGATTCTATTCTATTCTATTTATGGAGGTGAGCGTATCGCTACTGAGGCCGCAGCTGCCCCAGGGAGCCCGTAACCCTCAGCAAGCTCAAGGCTGCAAATGCATTCAGCCTGAAGCCACGTGGCACTGAGGACTGACACAGATAAATCAAAAATTGGAGGGCACTTCATCTGTAACAATTAATCAAGGGCTAGCACTGATAATGACGACGGAATTTTATTCATACTTTTACCGTTACTCACATTTATTATGTCTTGGGCGCTAGCTTGGGTGGGAAAACCCCTCATGTGGACAAAGTGCAGTGGTGACGAGATGTTCCCAGATTCTACATGCCCAGAGCTTTCGGCTCCTTCCCTGCACAATTCTGTGGAACAGAGAAAGAAACATAATTAGCGCTTGCAATTATCACCTCCCTCTTGTGAAAGCTGTAGATGCGCAGGGCCGTGCTCAGAGCAGACAAAGGGGGTGAAAGGAAGAGGCCTCCAAGAACACACCCGACGGAGGGACTCACTATTTTCTGTTTCAGCATCGGAGCCTCCCGTGTTGCTCAAGCCCCTTGCTTCAGAAACAGATTCGTATTCTCGTCTCGCTTTGTGGTAGGTCGCCAGCTGCTTGTCGTAAGGCACGTGCCTTTGCATCTGATGCTTTCTACTTACGTACACTTCTATGTATCTGGAATTCAAAGGAAAAGATTACGTGGCACACCTCGTGCCTCCGCGAAGGACTGTTTTGAGAAAGTACCTTCAGGCCATTCTCCTGTCTCAGCTCTGCTCACGTACTAGGTGTGAGAGCCATGGTACGGCAAGCAACGGTTTTGCAGAATTAATTAATTTCAAATGCAGAGTTATGTTTCTGAAAGCCCTTTTCAACTTGCAGTGACAGCCCCTCTGCCGTACAAACCCACATGCTGAGAGACAGATTACCGGCTTGGGCTGGGCTAACTCTTTCATTTACAGCCTTATACAAAGTTCTTGTAGGAGCAATATCAGTACTTACAAGCAAAAAAAATCTGTTTTGTTGCAAAAATACAGATCTATTTCCGCGGAAAAAAAATGTTTTCTATTTCTTTCAGCAGCATGCATCCCTTTTGAACAGCCCTGTATGCGAGGCTGTTTGCCCCTCAGTGCAAACTGCACTATTCCCATCTCTGCAAACCCCAGATTAAAAAACCAGCCAAACCCAAACCAGGTTACTGAAACAGGCAGGCAGAGAAGATGCACAGGATCATACAAAATACTTCAGCGGAGCCATAAGCTTTTACATATTGCTGTGAAATTGATGGGCGAAAATGGGGAGGGGGGAGAAAGTCATGGGGCTAATACACCAATATGTAATGCAACATTAAGGGGCTCTAGCAAGAGCCCACCTACACCACAGAAAGGGAACAAAAAGAACACCCAACAAAGCCTTATTTGCAGGTTTAGTCAATGCGTAACTTTATAATGCGTTATATTTCTATCTACCCACCCCACAACCCCTTAATTCGGCACTGCCTGTCCTAATCCTTCAGAAAGCTGCCAACAGTACCAGCTGGGCCTCGCACAAATTTAACTAGCAGTGCTAAATTAGGCGGTTTCCACAGCACTGATGGAATAATGTGAGGAAGAGGAGAATGTGGACCGCCAAGTGAGGAGGCTTTCCTCCCTCCCTAAAGAGCGGCTACAGTACGGGAAGTAACCCCCCCGTACAGGCTGCCAGAGCCTACAGCTCAGCCCCCAGGAACCCACGCGCCATTCTGGGCACAGCTGAAGGCCATTTCCAGATAAAATTGATAGCCCAGGAAGAACGAACGAGCGCCAAGTTGACAGCCATTTTGGAAACCACTCGGTTTCTTGGCTAATTATACAGAAACAGGGGTATATGAGCTCGGGTAGGTGAGTCAGAGCAGCTCTTGTTCAGGCGTGAGGAAGAAAAAATTAATGGCAGCTTGCAAATTAATTGATCTTTATTGGAGGGTAGGGATGTGTGTCAGTTAATTCAATTATTGGGCACAGCTACAGAGCAGCCATTTTCTTTTAATATGGGTGGGGGGACAAACACAAAAGAATGCAGGCTGGAAACAAGGAATAAGGAAATAGAAGAAAGGAAGTAGGTGCTATGTAGAGTGTAAGAGAAGTGGTAAGGGTGGGAAAGGTCTTTTGCTGTCTGGTATTCAGAAGGAGAACTTAGTGGGTTATTTAAGAACAATCAGAAAGGTTAAAAGCATTCTTAGGGGTTTTTTTTTTCCTGAGTGCAGCTCAGGATTCTGGGAAAAAGCAGTACATGCTTCTGCTTAAGAGGCTCTTGTGAGAGAAGTATGGGGCACAGGGCTCGGTGCTCTGGAAGAAAAAGGTTAAATGTAGATTGGTGAGGAAGGAGAACCGCCCAGCTGATGTGGTCACCACAGAGGTAGATGATTGTATGGTATCGGCCAGCAGTCAACGTCAGGAACGGATTCGAGCCAGAAGTGAGTGGTAAGCTGTGCTTAGCACAATGTACTCTCCAAGCGGAGACGCGGACTGTGCCTGGTACTGGGCTGGAGGGAAGGGTGAGGGTTGCCAAAACTGTGGAAAACCCCTGGGGACACGATGGAAATTTGGCAGGGGCAAATATCTGTAGGAGGCGTGGGATCCCTGTGTGCTTGTGACTGGGCAGGTGGTGTCTGTCTGGCGTTCCCCCCTCTGAACGCGGTCACCCCATTTTGGTTGGGATGAGCCTGCCTTCACGCATGCTTAAGAAGAACTGAGACTTTCTTCTGAGAGGCCCCAAATTTCCCCCTAGCTACAAGCACTGAAGGTGCCTCTGTAGTGCATGGAAGCCTGCAAAAAGCTTCATCTTCTTCTAATTTTGTCAAAGTTCTAAAAAAAAAAAAAACAAACCTCACCAGAGTAGGTAAAGCTTGGGTTGCACAAAGTATTTCAGAGGGTGCTATTAAAAAAGAGAAACTTTTAAACCACACAGTAACAGTCTGACACCATTATGAGAAAGGTTTAGCTAGGATTTCTACTGACATTTGAGTCTAAAGTCTTGAGTTCTAGGTTTTAACCATAATAAAGGCAGAAGCTTCCTTAATAATAATAATGTGAATATGGGACAGCCTAAGATGAGCTGTTTCACCTGGCAAGAAGCAAGCTGTAAGCCACACAGCACGCTTCATACCACGTTTTTCTACCCTCGTGACCCCCAGTGAAGCACCTACCTACTTCCCATATATTCCCTGTGTCGTAAGAGGGCTTTAGCTGCCATGTCGGGAGCTGCAAACTGCACAAAAGCTTCTCCTGTTCTTCTTTCTCCCCGGTAAACGAAAGCTATGTCAGTTATTTTCAAACCTATGGAAGGGTGAGGAGAAGATGACATTTACGTTGTCAGGAACCTGTGCCACAGCTCAAACAGACATTTCTCCCCTTACTTTTCTGGTTTTTGCAAGCAAATCAGGCAGTTAAATAGTTCGTTAACAACTGCTCATGCTGGCTTACATACCTTTTTTAATCTTTTTCTTTTAAGTCCAATTTATTTGCTTTAAGTTAGTTTTCAGAGAAGGCTTAATTGCCAATAATGAATCGCCTTGAGTCTTCAAATAACTATGAAAGTAACAAGTGAATCCAAGTTCTAGACAACAAGGAGGTACAGAGCACAAATGTTCTCGAAACTTTCTCTTAATATTATGGCAATTTTTTCCTATCTCTTTAAAACCCAGGTCCAATTCACTGAACTTCCACTTTTGTGCTGTATAATATGCTCTTGGGGAGCCTGTAATCCAGTAAATAGCTGTATCTGACATGATACAGAGTGCACACTGCGCTAGGCTACTACACTTATTTTTTTTCCCCCGGGAATGCTTCTGTGTACCTCTTTGCATGTTGTTATTTTCTCAAAGGGTCTCCCCAAGCTCTTGAAGAAAAGGAAATACTTGCTCCACAATGCTGCCCTAGTCACCTCATTGTGGTAACTCTGCTGCTAGATGCCTTCAAACTTATTGAACTACTGGTTATCAATAGAAAAATTTACTCTTGGCAACCTTTGTTTTCAGCATGGTGGTGGTTATTATGAGCCTTAGTGCTATAGGACTGTGTGTGCATGCCTACCTCGAGTGGAATAAGTTGGGGGGAAGAACTGGTTTTGGTTTAGTCTACAACTTAAACTTGCCCTAAGGAAATGTCAATTTATTTTGCAAAACCTGGAAAGGCTTCTCTCCCAACAAATGCAGGCAGCAACCGCCTGGACTGCTCTAGCACCGAGCGTGGAACACGAGCGTGCGCGCACACACTGTGCAGTACTTGCTCAGCTGAGAAATGATGCAGGTGACTTTCACAGCCATGAACAAGCCAGTAATAAAAAAAAAAAAAAAATGCCGTTAACAGTTTTAAGTGGCATACGTGATCTAACTGCCATGATCATACAGCTGTGAAAACCCACACTGCATTCACTTGTACTGTAACTATTATACAGGCATTTTTGCCTGTCTTAAATTTGCCAAACTATGCACTGGTAGCAATCCAATTGCAGATAATAGGATCAAGGTTCCTCTCTTGCCTTCCCCTGGCCCCCCAAAAGAATGCTTGTTCAGAAAGCTTTAGTTACTTCTAGCTGCAAGGGGACACCGATTCCTTACACTATTTAAGGTGTTCAAGGCTGTGTGTGCTTTTGCTTTTCTCACTTAGAGGAACAACAGCCTATCAAAGCATCGACTTGGAGCAGTAAACGCCTCATAACCAAAAAGTGCAGACTAGGCTGAGTTACCTGAGAAAAAATCTGCAATATCCTCCTCGGTGGAGCTGAATGGAAGGCCTCTGAGTAGTACAACTCCATCATTTATGGCATGTGACTCATTCCGCAGACTTTGTAGTAAGCCTTCCACATCGCTATCGTGTACTTCAAAAACTGCAAGGAATACAGGCACAAAACATGTTTTCCCGGTACTCGGAAGGTGGCACTCTGCAGACATTCTTCAAGGCTGCTTTTCCTTCCCGCCCCGGCAAAACGTCATGTTTCCTCCCGCACCCCATACTCTATGGTCCTGCAATGCTGCCCCTCACTACACAAGCCACTTGGCTTTTCCTGTCCAGCCTAGGAAGTTTTGGCTTAACGGCGCCTTGTTGGCTAATTTGCCACTCTGTTCCGCAGCCTGCACCCCTCCACACCAGCCCGTTTTATTATTCAAGCAGTTCTTATCACTTTATCGGGCGTTTTCTTCCAATGTAACTTCCGCAGTTTCAAACCCACCTTTCACGTAGCGTGGGCCCATGTACCTCAGGTGCTTTTCCAAGGCTCTCTGGACATCCGCTTTCGACTCCAGTTCGATCAAGGCATCCCCCCTGCGTCTGCCATCCCTGTTTAAGAGGAAGTGTATGCCGTTCTCACCGTTTCGAATTCTACAGCCTAGAAATCAAGGAACACACGATACAGAAACATACGCAACTGCATCAAACATGGGGTTCTTTCGATTGCAGATGAAAACTGAATATTCTGCGTAGAGCTGTCCCCCTTAGCGGGGTAAAATACTGTCGAGACACAGGATAGGAAACTCCTACTTCTGACCTTAACTCTAACACACAATGCTTGTCACAGGTAAGAAACTGATCTGACATCCATTAGCTTCCACAGCTGTCTAAGCGGACAATATATTTTCTCATATTGTTGGTAAACTTAATTGTTTCTGAGTTACTTGAAATCAAGAACAAATACTACAGTTTTTCACTCTCTACAGCTATACTCTGCCTGCTCTGTGTTCCTTTCCCCTAGGACTTCAAACTGCCTTGATTTAGTCCAGCAGGTTATTAAACCGTTTTAAAAACTTGGATGTGACCATTGAGTCTACTCTGGAAGGGTGCATCATAATATTACAGTACGGAGGGACCAGCCCTGCAGAGGTATGCACAAGCCTATTAACTAGGATCAGAAAGCAATGCTGAACTTAAAACTACTAAGTAAAAACCACTCCAGTTTGTTTAAAAGAGTGGAGTTGGGGAAAAAGCCAACCATAATGGTCTTTAAAGGAACCACTCTTGAATTGGATTGCCTTTACTGTGGAGATACCAACTACGAAGGGAGAGACTTGCCCAATTAAATATGAAATGCTATAAGGGTGAGTTTCTAGTTACTTTCCAGCAGTTTGGAAGTTGGTTATTTGTTTTATATGTGTAAATCGTGAATAATTCTGCAGCAATATCAAAACTCATCTTTCTCCGGTTAATGACCTTCACATTTTCTTTCTGTTAACTGGTGGGTTCAATAACACAAGAGTGAACAGTTATGCAGGCAAATGATCTCCCATACTATCAAAAAAGGTAAGCACGTCCTCTTCGGTGCAGGAGAAGGGGAATCCTTGCGCCCTGACGAGAAAGACGTTGTCATTTTCTGCCTTGGGTGACTCTGCTTGCTGCTCCGAGAGGTGACCTTCCTGGGACGGCGCATCTGTAACCTGTCACCAAAAAGAAAGGGAAAACCCAAAAGCCCAAATTAAAAGGTGGAAGGGTGCAGCTCTCAGCGGTGGTACCCCGCTACGTTCGGCGCTTTAGGTAGGGGCGCGGTAACCGGGCTCTGCGGGGGGAAGGACGGGGAGG